CCTGGTGATCTCTGCTGTTCCTGCAGTATCTGTTCAGAGAGAGACGTATCAGTACCAGGTACTTCTTGTAAAATAAAAACTTACATTTTGATCTTATTTTTGGTAACTTCCTAGTCCTACATCCCAAAGTACCATCTGGTGGTCAGAATTCAGAGTCAGTGGATGATCTTGCCCGTTGAAAAGCAGGTACTGGCTTCTGCCTTCCCAGTTCTTGCACTTAAAAATGTGGGGTCAAGCTTTTCTTAAAATACCATTTCAAAGTAAAATAAAAGTGTTATCACTTTTATAAATCTGGATGCTGTTGTGAACAGCTCTCATAGTCTTGTTATCACTTTCTAAATTTAACAAAGAGTATGCTTAGGCAACTGCAGAACTGGTGGCATGGGGCTTTCTAGCATTGCATCTGAAGGACATAGCATCCAGCTGATCGTGGGGGACGCAGTCACAGCTTTTAACGTGGAGAACCTGTTTTCTTTCCATCCGGTAGCTTAACTCTTGCTAATGTTTTCACGCACAGTTGCTTCATCTGAAGACTTTCAGTTCTACTTTGACTTGTGCCAATTGTTTAAGAAAATGGCCTTTGCACAATGCCATTGGAGCCCTACCAGGAGGGAATGGGTTTCTGTTCCTGTGGCCTTCCAGGAAAACTTCTTACTCTTGTGCTGATGCTTAGGTGAATCTTCCTAGCTCGTAACATATTTGGGTTAAAGAGTGTTTTGATGTGATATTAAAACACAAAAAGTAAAAGTCACAAACCACACTAATTTCTACAGTAGCGTAATTTTTAAAAAAACTAGTACCCTTTGGTTAACAATTGATCACAGTGTTATCGTGGAAGACTGTTAAATTTTAAAACCAGTTGCAGAGACTCTTAGCTGTGTAACTACTGAAAAAGAATTTAAATGGGTTATGAAAGTACTTCTTTTCCTTGGCTATGTTTTAACAGCAAAACAGACATGTGGCTGTTGTCTCAGGAGACAGAGCTATGGCTCTTGGGTGAGTGCATCGGGAAA